ACTGCTGATTGTACTCGCCGTCATTCTCTGCTACTATCGCTCAAAGTAAGTATACGACGTTCTTTTTAGTCCAAATCGAACCAGTTCAATCGATACTTGTATAAATCAAAAATAAAAGCCGCGACATCCGAAAACTGTGAAATAATTTCGAAAATTTGAATTTCCAGACCGACAGGAGCAAACACTTCGAATTTAATTTACAGTGAACTGGCATAATTTCAAGTCCCAGAGCATTTAAAAAGCCATCCAGACAGCCAGCTGGCTATTCAGTTTTCTGTGCCCTCATAAACTAATTCTAGCAAGTCCCTCCCTCCTGGGTTGCACGTTTTTGAGCAAATAATTTAATTTATTTTACAATAATGAAAATATAATATTGCAGATTTTTGCGAGAGAAGAAAATGTATGAAGACGGAAAAATTGCTGCCGCATCAATGAATAAAAATGAACGTTTGAAGCAGTCGCTGCATTACATGAGGCCAGTCCATTCCAATTTGAGGTAAATTAAAGCCAATTTGATTTTTAACTCAAACAGTGACCCGCATTAATTAGTCAGCATGGGCAGTGCTTCTTCGGAGATACAATACGCAAACTGCACATATGAAAGCTAATTGAACAGCATTAATTAAACTGTTCCTTCCGGTCTAGATCGAGATAGTTACACAAGTGAACCGTATAAGCCTCGACAGTCGAAAATTCTGATTTTAAAAGTTTAAGTTTCCAGATTTACAGGAGCAGCAGACCTTCGAATTTAATCCCCTTGCACGTCACCATACCAGCAAACCTCACTCTGAGCAATCCTCTCCTATGCGCAAAGAAGTCAACATCAGAACAATTCCTTATTATATGCTCAATTTCGATTGCAGCAGCAGTCTTGAGCTTTATCCAAACTGTGGCAGAAAGGCATGCTCGCGCGGTCCTCTGAAGCGTGCCACTGTCCCCTTTTTCCATGAAAATGGCCAAATATTCGAATTTTTAAAATACCTCATCTGGCATAAATAGCTGCG